TCCTCCGTTTCTGACAGACGGATCTATCTAGAACTCTCCACCCACGCCCCCCTCGGGTCTGTCGATCACATGACCGACTCGAACGCAATTTTGAGATACAATCTATCAGTCGTCACCTGATAAAACAACATAGCAATGGGGAGATTGGCATAAAGCTCTTACTGTAATTGTCTGACACATGTTGAGAGCCTTCATGACTAACACATGACGCCTGGACCATAGCATCAGTCCAGTATTTATAGTCCTGTGTACTGGCCGGCATTCTGAGACATGGCTGTTCCTGGTAGCGATAACAAGAGCCACATCTGCAGGTTCCTGTCATGTGCAGTGTTTAGAGTATGAAGGAGTCTTACCTCACGCTATCAGACTGTCCAAATATACTGTGTGATGCGGTGAACTACTTAGCCCTGATTGCGATCGTTTACACACAGTTATAATTACTGTAAGCCTCTGAATATGACCGCTTCACTTCTCAACACCAAATTTACATTCGATTGATGATAGGCTTGACAAAAGTAGTCGGATTCTAAGTAAGATGTGATATTTCCACAGGAGCTGATCCTAAATGTTATTTTTATTTTGGGAACCGTTTAGTAAGTAAGTAATCTTTGTTCATATAGCGCATTTCACAGACCGGAGACACAAAGCACTTTACAATTGTTGTGGGAATTTGTCTCTCACTCCACACACAGATGGGAGCGGGCTTGCCATACAGAAGGTAAAGGCCAGACCTATTTTACATGTTTTTAGTGGTAGGGGAAACCGGAGCACCTGGAGGAAACCTACGCAGACACAGGGAGACGATGCAGACACCACACAGAAAGGTCTGGAGGTGGAATTGAACATGTGACTTTCTTGCTGTGAGGCACAAGCGCTAACCACTGCGCCACTGTGCTGCCCACGGTATATTCACAAATGTAGATTCTTAAAAAACAAGCCATCGTTCCTTACATTCCACAAGGAACTATGCCTCTTCATTTTATAGTTTGTTTTCATAAAGTAATTTTATATTGTCTGTTATTATCTATTTTAGAATCATCTGTCATGTTATCTGTTATATTTGCCTGTTTTGACGATTGAATTGATGGAGCGAAATTTGTACTTTGCCACAAAATAATAATATTAACAATAGCAATGAAAACACACATTTCCTACATCTAGTTTTCTTTTATCAATAATGGTAGAACAAGTTATGAACATAGACGGAACCCAGATAGTTTTAACATTCTACAGGTCTCTTCTTCTCTTCTCTTTCTATTTGAGTGTTTAAACATTGTAGCACATATATTGAGAAATCTCATAGAAAGTCTCAAGCCCCCTCCCTGCCCCCTCCCTGAGCTGCCTGGAACTATTACCTCCAAACTCAACAGAAAGGCCAGGTGCTGTGGCTGAGGTCATCCGCAGCAGGTGCCAACCAAGCAGGGCCTGAACCCAAACACACCACACACCCACACACACACACACACACACACACACACACACATGCACACACACACACACTGCTCCTACGCCAGATACAAGCTCATACCCAAACATACGGCGCTTTGTCTTTTTATGAGGATATTTGTCATCTGTTTCAGCTCACACACACATGTACGCACGCACACACACACACACACACACACACACTAACACAGAGCAGAGAGAGGACAGGATGAGGACTTGGTGGTTTGCTACTATATCAGTGCTGGGATGAATATATTCCTGGCTGCTGCTGATAAGCCAACTGATGCCTTGCCTTATTTAGTCAGTGATCAGCACAGAGCCGCACACTGGATATGTTTGTCTGCGCAGTTTGAAGTGAAGATAGGTGAGGTGTCCCTGTGCACAGTGACATGTTCTGATTAAAGCAGGCGCATACATGTGCAGCACAGGGGAGCACGTTGTGCTGCAGCCATCGCCAATATATCAAGTTGCACATTTTCCCTGCCGAGAGCAAAAATTAAATATAGTGAGGTTTATTGGAAAGGTAGATGATGTGAGTTCGGCAGTGATGGACACAACGAAGCCACGCTGTTATTTAGACGACAGAACTGGCTGGTATTTTTTTGGTCAAATAATGTTGTGTGTCAGGCCACAACTTTTAGAAAACATTGTTCTCTGATTGGCTGATAAGGGTGGATTCACTTTTCAGTCTAAAAAACAGGATCTAAAGAGGTAACATTGGCCACAATCATGCATATGAAAACTTTATTGATCAAACCAAACTCTTTTAGAATCAGAATCAGAAATATTTGTATTACCATTGTAAGCAACAAGAAGTCACAACTTAGGAATTTGTTTTTGGCTCTTGGTGAAGAGCCAAAAGTAAAAGAGGTAAAAGTAACGACAGATATAGTTAATAGATAATAGAGGGCATGCATAATTAAAAAAATCTTCATAGAATTTCTTGAAATGACTACTATATAAGTGCACTAAGGACACACAATAGACAATTAGAACCAGGAACTATTTATATGGATTTTTATTACATAGCTGATTTAAAAGTTAGCTATCCCAGCTTTAAGGTATGGTCATTTACACAACTTGATAGAGATTAGAATTCAGTTACAATCTATTCAATGCACAGAACTCTTTTTCACTATATTTTTCACTATAACATTCAAGCCGAGTGAAGAGGAAGCATTACAGCACATTACATAATATGTTTTACCCCATAATCCAGTGTTATTGTGTCACTACTCATAGCTTTATAGTAAATGTCTAAAGTGAAGCCTTCCTTTATCACTGCCCTGTGCTCACAGACCTCTCCCACAAAACGGCCATAGTCTCAGATGTACGGTGTCTCTCACAGATAAGGGAGGATGATGTTTTCTTTTGCAGACATGAAGCTCCACCTCAGAGCGATCATACCTCTAATACTCCTGTGATCCCTCTTCATTCTACCCTTTTCTCCGGGACTCCAGCTCAGCAAATCCTCCATCACTGACAGACTGATCCAATCCATTTCTCCGTCTCCATCTACTACTCTCACCCACATCCCCTTTGGGTCCGCTGCACGTGACCAACTCGATCAATACCACTGGCTTTTCTCTTTTTTTCAGCCGGTGCCGTGTAATGAATCTTATGTAACACCATGTTCAACAAGTTTACACAATTAAGTGGGAAAAAGAGATTGTAAGAACTAACACCAAGAAGTAATTTGATTTCTCCACAAAGTATCCCATGGATGCTTAACCACTTGATTTTCTAAGCACTTTACGTTATGCCATATGTTGCTTCCACAGGGACTTGGCATTCTGTCACATAGACAATTCTATTTATAGTTTTGTTCATAATATGATGGTTTCGAAATAACATCCCTTGTAGGAATGCGGCCTCTCCTGACATCATCATACCTAGAGGTTTGGCGTTATCTATGACAACCCTACTACTATAATGTTAAATCCTAGTATTATGTAATAGCTTATATCCTTAATATTGCCAGAATACGGCCCTTACTGCATGCAATACACTAGATATTATATTGAGAACATTTTGGCTATTATAATCTCTTAATATAAATCCATAAAAAAACATATACATTACTGCAGACTGTTGTTGATCAGTACTCATGATAGTTAATTAGATATTACAACATTTTACTAAAGTACTGATATAAAAACCTACTTCATAAGATCAATATTCATGTAACCTGTGTTCTATTATTTTCTGAGTCAAGATCACGTTATTTAGACTCCTCTCCCATGTGAAAATATCCAAGGAGCATTCACTACTTCTGCTGTGTGTCTATGAGGAGGAGATATTCCAAAATAATGGCTCTGCGTTTCCATAGCAACTGCACATTGTCAAAACTCCTTGTTTCTGCCTGTAGCGCGCTTACTGATGTGCACCACTGCCGTGAGGGTCACAGATCCACACAACACTAAAAACATTCTTCAACATTTATAATTGAAAACGTGAAATGAAAATGCAAATATGGACCTAGAGATGCTCACAATGAATAACTCATTCAATAACAAGAAAAAAAAATGCTCTTGATCCTGCCGCTCATGTTATTTTAATAATTCCCCAATGCCCTGAACCAAAGCGATGAAGAGGAGGAGGCTTTAAATACGATGGTCACGTCTCATCCACCTGTCGGAGCAGATGCCACATCAGAACGCCACTTAGCGGGGGGCGTGGCGTCACGAGACTGAGCTGGCGGGAGAGCAGGTATGTCTATACTACTGATACACACACACACGCACACACGCACACACTCACTCTCCCTGGGAAGAAAAGATATGAGCAGGGAATAGAAACGGCCTTTCTCTAGAGTGCCTCCACTGCCACACTGAAACATTGACTGATGATAGGAGTAAAAGAGCAGTGCGATGGTCCTAGGGCTCGACTTACACCCATAAATGCTCGTGTGACTGTTTGTCCAGAGCTCACACGAAACATGTTCTAGTCAGCTGAGGTTAGCATTTGCGTGACTTGTAGGCATTGCAAGAAGAATAAACAATCAGATCCGGCCTGCATTTTTATGGGTTTATAACTGGATTGCACTAGTGAGTCCTGGTAAATTATAGGGCTGTAGTCGATTTAGGAATTTAAACATTTTGACAAAAAAAATAAAAATACTGAGGAATTAGTTGATGAAAAGAGGGAGTGGTAAAAGCTCTCAAAACTGTTATGTAATTCTGACAAACTTTTCATGGGACTTTGTTTTATGCAAAAACACCTATTAATACATCTAATTGCATAACATTTTGATTGATTGAGTTTGATTGAACTTGAATATTAGCTCAACTTCCCATTTTGGGTGTTTTCCCACAGAAATTCTTATAATCAACCTGCTGTAGCACCCTGAGATGTGTAAATTCTGGTTCAATCCTGGTGAACGATTTAAGGCCTGTAGAAGGTGTTGTCATGATATCGAACAATATCGAAACAGAATGTGGTTGGAAAGTGATGATAAAAGCGATGGTAATTGTACTTCTTGTTTAAGATGAACTTTTAGGTAGATTTTTTTTGCCTACTGTGCTTTCACAAACTAGTGAAGTTGAGCACATTACCTGGATGCAGCTATTTCCACTTTGCTCCTGGCGATGGCCGCTGCCCTTTGCGCCCCTTCCACAGCTCGATCCACCTTTTCTTTGGTTTTGGGGTTCTTAAGAGGAATCAACTGCTTTCTTATTCCACGCACCAGCACATTGTTTTTGTACTTCCCCTCTTCTTTGGTGCCATCCGGAAAAACCGTGCACCCGTAACCGTGCCGCTTATTGTTCAGCCACTCCCCCTCGTATTTCATCCCATTGGACCTTTCCGAAACACCAAATCCATTGCGCTTGTCGTTCTTCCACTCGCCCATGTAGCTCTCGGTGGTGGTGGCGTCCACATGGTCCTCCAGAGGTAGATCTTCATCAGGCAGCTCTCCGTCGCCGATAGACACGGTGGAGTTGGCATCGCTGGAGCTGATGCGGCTCATGGTGGCGTCGCTACGTGCCGAGCTGCGTTTGCTGGAGATGGACGTCCTGGAGTCGGACTTGCGCAGCTGTCTGAGGCTCCCGAACAGAGAGCCGCGGCGGAACAGGCCCTTCTTTTTCCCGGTGACCACCTCTGAGTCCGAGTGGAAGTTGAGGACGAATCCTCCGCGGCTGCCGGTGGGCGTGTCCCCCGGAGAGGACAGGTCGTGGAGGACGGTGCCATTGCTTTGCTCTGAGCGCAGCGAGGCCATGGAAGTGCGCAGAGGGGAGCGGATGATTGTGGCCATGCCGTACGGGACGCTCTGGCGGACACCGTAGCCGTGTCGCATCCCGCCCATCCACTGGCCTTGATAAGTGCCTAAAGGATAAGACACAGAAATAACATTGTAATTGGGCTGCTTGATTATAGCAAAAAAATGACACATCATTTGGTATGAAGTGACTCTCTAATATGTGGTCAGGGGCTAGACTTTATTTTCACCAAGGTATCCATGGATTTCTTCGTGGAAATGTTCACTGCAAGCTGATCTTTTGCATCTGTGGTTTGTTTATCTGTGTCCTGGGTCTTCCCCCGGGGTCTCCTCCCGGTGGGACATGCCTGGAACACCTCCCTATACATGTTTGTCTTATTAAATGTGTCTCATCAGTACCTAAACTATAAGTATTGCTGCATACAAATTGCATTCCATGTATCTAACAATTTGCTAGGAAATGATAAAACATGTTATTACTGTACTGAAGGAATGTTATTCTCTGCCTATGACCCTTCAATGTCAGGAGCAGCAGGCCCCAAAAATGCAGCGCACAGGGAAGCATCTCAAGGTTGAACAGATTGTGCATTAACATATTACTTCCTTTATTCTTACTTTATTCTTGTTTACTACTTTAACAAATCATGACTGAAATATCTCATGTGGTCACTGAGCCATCTCTTCACTTCAAGCCTCCTCCCCGTTACCACCTCAACAGAGGGATATCACTCTTATGGGCTAATCCCTTCAGCATTCTCCACCACCAAGGACTTGAACCCGAGGGATTTCGCTTTTATAATATCTATCAATTCCCACCTGTATACGTAGCGCATATGCAGGGTCCTAAGTAATCATTTTATACCATGCTTTCAAACCTAACTCAATAAACATGATTCCAATACATCTTCTGCTTGTCTGAGTGCTTTCCAGATTGAAACAACATTAGAAAAATGCAATCTGATTCTTTTATGACAAAAACATTCGATTCATTACAACGAGTTCCAGAGAGAAAAAGGGACAACACAAGCTGCCAATAGAACAGTTAGAAAAGCTGCCAAATCAAAATGCGTTTAAGAAAATGCTGCTGATGTGTGAATGACTGAAATAACTACACTACAGAGAATATTAAGTTTGCAGCTTAAACTTTTGTATTTTGAAGTATTAAGTAGTTAATCATCCCACTTTTGCAGAGTCACCAGGTCCAGCAGCTCTGCATTTGTCAGCACTTAGTCCCACAATGCCTCATGAGAAACATAAAGGTGACCATGTAGGGCCAGTGTTATTAGTATACTGTATAAAATCCCTCTTTTCGAGTCAGATTATAAGCACTGATACTTGGCATCTGTTTAGATGAAAATCATTCTCACACACAATCACTATTTTCCAACAGCTGAAAGTAGGAAAACATCTTTATCTCCCACACAGGGGAACGGAGTGAGTCATAGGCCTGGAATTATTCATTAATAATTATTTATTCATCATACAAAACAATAGAAGCCAGATTTAAAAAACAAACTCGCCCGGTCCTAAATAAGCAATAATGGTTGGATTGAGATAGAAAACTATTTAAAAGTCATGGCAAGAAGGATAAACTGTGTGAGATTAACGGGCTGGCTCTTTGCAGTTCAATTTGGGTGCGGGCAGATCAAGTTCTCGGGATGTGGCAGAGTCAGACGGCCAGATGTTGAGCAGATCACTGGGATCAGCTGATTTCACAGGCTCTACATTCTCCGGCTTTTCCTCTGCACCATGTGGCCGCTGTCAGTGGCACTCTGATGCTCACATAAGTACAGCTGTTTTATAACCTCCAAACTCACTGCTAAAGTTACATGTGTTATAATGCATTCTATAATGTATCCTATAATGTATTCTATAAGGCATTCATGTTTTATTACAACTGGAGATGTCTGTATTTCACCAATGGTATTTTCTCAAATGTGAAAATAACCCAAATCAGGTGCAAATGTGAGGAGCCATGATTCAGAAATAATAGGGGCTGCTCTATTTCCACTTTCCCTTTGGAGGAGGCAGAGAGCCAAAAGAGCTGGCAACTGGAAAGTCTCCTCCCCGAAGTCATATGAGGAGTTGCAATGAGAAAGGTACAAAGACTCTTACTCCCAATGTGGCCTTTATGGCTGTGTTGTTGGTGCGTGTCTATGGCATATACACCCTCTGGAGACTGTATGCGGTCTCAGTGTATAAAGATATATAACAGATAGACCTTCACTTATAGAGTTGAATGCTGACAGTGGTAGCAGTAGAAACTATATGCTTTGATAAATGACCCCAGTATTCAGATCAAGAATCAAAGTTAGGGGGTATGGTAAAGAAATGCTGTGCTCCTCTTCCTGCCCAAATTCCTGTGAGAAGTTGCAATGAGAAAGGTACACTGTTAAAAAAATAAAAATAAAATAAAAACATCTAGCCCTAATACTCATCCTCTCAATATGGCATTACTGTAATGTTGTGGATATGGAAGTGTTTGGCTTATACACTAGCTGTAGGCAGTACCTCAGCTCATGTGGTCAGTGAATAAACATAGATTGCATACAAAAAGCAATGAAGTATCAGGCTGAGAGTGGAAGTCATTATGATAAAGTATTCTTAAATTACGCAGTGATTTCAAGGGTTGAGTTAGTGTAGAGAAAAGGTTGAGCTCCTCTTACCTCCATCCCCATAGGTCTCCACCCCATAGCCGTCTTGCAGCCCGTTGCTCCAGGTGCCCTCATATCTGGCAGGTGTGTTGTGACTCTGTCGGACTCCGTATCTTCCTTTAAAGCCGTGGCTCCACTCTCCTTTGTAGACCCACCTGCCCTTATTCTCCACGCCTAGACCGTGGCGTTTGCCCTGAGACCAGTAGCCCTTGTAGGTGTTCCCGCTGGGCCAGGTGTACACGCCTACTATCTCAAACCCGTGCGACCAGGACCCGGCGTACTCCCCCTGGCCCTTGGGCCCGGTGCAGAGGCCGTGTCCGTGGGCTTTTCCATCCTCCCAACCCCCGCAGTAAGTGCCGCCGTCGTCGAAGTCAAAGCGTCCGCCCGTCATTCAGATGCGAACCGGGCGCAAGCTGCAGGAGCGCACTCACACGGCTGTCTCTGGTCCGATTGGGGAAGAAGCGGTGACTTAAGAAGACAATAGAGGAGATAGAGACGGATTGAGCATTGTCACGTCAAAAGTGTGAGGGAAGCGGTGCTGCTGCTGGTGGTTACCGGAGGCTGCTGGTCGTCTCCCCCCGCTGCGCCCACTGACAGAGCGGTGCAGACCACAGAGACCACGGGCTATGGCACAGAGACCGCGTCTATGGACTGACACAGGCTGATCACAGGCTGCTGACCAGAGACGCGTCACACGGCAGACCCCGCCCAGCGCATCTCCTACACAGCCTCATTACAACAGTAGACTGGATTTACACCATTCATTTAATAAAGACTCTCTCGCTGGAAATCAAGGCAAGGCCAAATAGGATTTAATGAGAAAACACAGCGTGAGTCATTGTCTTCCAAAAAAAACCTTTGTCAGCTCGACGCGTCTTCAATAGTTGCAGGGAATGTACCTATGCACAAGCCCCAAGTTGGAGCCAGATTTGCATAATAGTTAACGTCAGCATGACAAGGGCGTTTTTACATGTGTATAATGAAAAAGATGCTATTGATGAAGAATCCTGGTAAAAAAAAACCCTAAAAACATAAATTACAGTCCATGCCAAAAAATGTGTGTGTTAAGCCACAGCTAAATAAAATCAATTTAAGGAAGGCTCCATTATGTAACTCTATCCAGGTTGAATTGCCATAAAACGAAACGGCATTGGATGGAAAACATTGACCTCTACTGGAATTTTTTTTTACTACAGCGGTTTTTGACCAATTTATGGAAGAAAATTATGATTCTTACGGTCAGCCCCAAAATAACAACATTCCTATAAATACACATAATGATAATAATAATAATGAGAAAGAAAGAAAGAAATATGAATAACACATCTGTTTTTTTTTTTGGTTTTTAGGCTCCTGTAATTGCTTGTAGTTCCCTTCCTCACCACTAGAAAGGGATGGTGCTGAGTCGTGGCGCTGTCCTCACTTGTCCCTAAAACAGAGAAGATGGCGTCTGAAAACACATCTGACGCCCAAGAGGAGACCGCTGCTCTCCTGGACACGACCACCGACCCGCCAGAGGACCCATCCCAGACTGATGAAACCAAGAAAGACTCGAAATTGATGCTGTATCATTGGACGCAGTCTTTTAATTCTCAGAAGGTGAGTGTCAGCGCGTTTCAGCACCGGCTTCGTGGACAGCTCCTCATTACTGCTCTGATTACACCATAGACTTTAGATTAAACACAACCATTGATGCACTCGTTGACTGTTTGTGAGTGTATTGAAACTTAGAAGATTCAAATAACCACAGCCTTGGTTTTTGGAAGGATGGCAGCTTTAGTTATGTGGAAGTAATCACATCATGAGAATTAGCTTGTATCTTTCCTCTATAGCCCAATGCAAATATGTAGAATATCTAAATGTTTAAAGCTGTGATACCTAACTTTCCCATCTCATAAGTCCCTCAATCACTATTTCCACATGCCTGTGTATTTAGCTTTTTCAGACGGAAACATGAAAAATACTCCACTCTAACTCACACTGTGACTTTTGCACAAGAATGCAAAGGATAGTGTGTTTTTATTAGGCATATAGTGGTCTAATTTTCTCCATCAACATTTCTCTTAATAAAGAAAATCATTTATGAAGAAGCAAATGTGAGGTTTCCCAGTTTTTAGGTTTCACAGTATGTCAGATCATGAAACTTTTTGTCAAATCAAGAAGATGGAGGCCCCACGCAAGCCCATCCACAGTAACGATGCTTACTTTTGTAGATATTTGTAGAAGTAGCAAAAGATAGTGAGAAAAAACCAAAATATTTCAATAGTTCTTTCCAATCCACTGTTTATTTAACATAGTTGTTAAATAAATGTTAAAAGTGATGCATATTGTCAGAGGAGAGGACAAAAACATATTCAGTAAATAATTATGTTTATTTTGTGTGTCCTAAACAATACAACTAATTGGATTAAGTATAGAACAGAAATGAATAAGTAAAACCATTAAAGTAGGTTTTATTGTGGCAGGTGCGTCTGGCCATCGCTGAAAAAGGCCTTTGCTGTGAGGAGTATGACGTGAGCCTCCCTCTGAGTGAACACAATGAGCCCTGGTTCATGAACCTCAGTCCCACTGGAGAGGTCCCCGTCCTGGTGCACGACAGCAGCATCATCTGTGACCCCGGAACCATCATGGAGTATATTGAGCAGCACTTCTCTGAGGGTGAGACAATCCACCTCAACCCATAACAACACCCGCACCCTTTGTGTAATTCTCTCTGTTATTCCCATTTTGATTTCTTAGAGGAACCCTATGTACAGTACAGTATGTATTCATCAATATTTTTGTTGGTTGTTGAGATAATGTAATGTAATCTCATGCATACATCCACTTTCGAGTTGATTATCCAATCCAAAAGCAAAAATTCACACAAGTCTCTCATTTGTTACCACTTGCCAGATTAGGTTTATTAAAAATACATTGGGAGCATAGCTTGAATTGTAAACAGTACTTTATTTTAACCTAAAATAAGCAGAAGCTACATATGGTTCCTTTAAACAACATTTACTTTGATTTTAATCCTTATTTTTCAATTTTTCACATTTTTGTCTGCTACTGTAATAATTGTTGGCTATTTCACCACTCAGCAGCAACCCTCCTGGTGAGCTGGTAAGCATGTTTGTGCTGAAAGTCATGAGTGAAAGTCATCTCACTGCGGCTCCAGTTGTTATTGAAGGTTTTCACTTTTCCTCAGAAGGCAGTGTGCGGTTGATTCCAGAAGAGGGCAGCACATACTACCACCGGGTGCAGCACTACAGGGAGCTGCTGGACTCTCTGCAGATGGACGCCTACACTCACGGCTGCATCCTCCACCCAGAGTTCACCGTGGACTCACACATCCCGGCGTACGCAGCCTCATGCATCCGAGGTGAGGGGCAGTCAGGGAGAGGAGCAGAGAGACGGCAAACCCAAATATGAATGAATACTTACATTTGGCTGGTGTTGGAGGAGTGTATACTTATGCCAAGCAAATGTCATGACAAAGCTGGTTCATTTATCTGCTATACCGAGAAGATTTTTGTACGACTTTACTACCGTATGTGGAAGACTTATCCCATCATATCTCACAAGCTAAGCAAGTTAGGGCCAGGTTAATGCCGTAATTGGAGACCTCTGATCAGAAAACTCACTTCTGTCAGTCTGTCCCAGGGCAGCTTTGGCTACAAAAATACTTTGCCACTATGTACAGAGTGAACGAATAATGTTATGTGAAGTGTCTTTGGGTGTCATGAAAAGCTAGTATGCATTAATCAAATAGTACGTTTGATAAAGTTTGATTATGGTAGATCTCACAACGTCAAATTTTAGGTTGCAATTATTGTAATAGATAAATAATACAATTCCCCCCATATTTTAAGATTTATCGTTTTAGTGTGGCCAAAAAAACGTATCAACTGACTCCCTTTTGCAGACTAGTTTATAAATGTGTAGCTACTTAATGATCAAATAATCCTTTTTTATGTGAATCCACTGGCAGCACAGATTGGAAACACACAGAGTGAGCTGAAGAAATTGGCAGAGGAGAACCCAGAGTTGAAAGATGCTTATATCGCAAAACAAAGACGACTAAAGGTAGCGATACAGGTCATACTGACATTTTTTTGCCTCATTTATCACAACAAAGTCATTTTTCATTCAACGTGAATATTTTTTCAGTCCAAGTTGTACGATCATGACAACATGAAATATCTAAAGAAGCTACTGGATGAACTGGAGAATGTAATGGACCAAGTGGAGACGGAGCTGCAGAGACGGGCAGAGGAAACACCAGGTAATCTATCTATCTATCTATCTCAATTATCGACGGGAAAAATGTATTGTACAACATAAACGAATGAATGAATGGACAGAGTTTGGGTATAATGAGCTTTGAGAACACTGTTGTAGCCCCTTGTCCAAACCACATGTATCCTGATCCCTATTTGCACTGTCATTACATACTGTTACTAGGGATGTTCCATAAATCTCTTGATAAAATGGCAACACAATCCCTAATTTATTCAGGAGTAATTCCTTGTGGAAGGGTTTCAAAAGTGGTTATCTGGAGTGCATTTTCAGCATAGAGATGTTTCGACTCGCATCCACAAGTTTTCCAGTCTGAAATGTGGATGGCCTGAGAGCTGAAATTAAGCTGAAGTGAGTTCTGGTCTGAGTTATGTCTGAAACGGTACCCTCTCGACGCTTGCAATCACAATGACTACTTTTTAAATCTTTTTCTGCAATATTTTTCTTATTATAATCTCGATTGAGGATAACACAAACACTATTACCATTTGAAATTAATTTGATAGCCTTTAAAATGAATAATTAGATTCCATTTAACTCCAAAGACATCAAACTGTCTATGTTTCTCTGACAAAACAATGCATTTAAAGCTGGGGTACCATCTTTTTCATAAATAATACTTTGTCCCAACAGAAATAGTCTTGTAAAAGAAAGACGTCATGAACAAAATTGGCCAAAACATTGTGTGCATATTCAGAAATGAAAAGGATCTTCTGAAAAAGTTTTAAAAATGTGACAGATGTATAAAGGAGATGTGACAGAACCAAACTATTTTGAGAGGAACTTGTTACGAAGGTATTATAAAGTTAAATTTTTATGGTTTGAAAGTTCCGGCTCATTATATTACTGTGAGACTTTTGTAAAACTATAATATTTGAGTTAATATGTTCAGTAATCTCTTGCGTTTCTATATTTTAACAATGCTACTTGCTTTGGGTTTCTGTTACTCAATGAAAATGCAACCCATGAAGGAAAGAAGAATAAAAGTCCCTCATGTACAGTATGTGTCTCGACAGAAGAGGGAGGTCAGTCCTGGCTCTGCGGTGACTTCTTCAGTATGGCTGATGTCTCTCTCGCCGTCACCCTGCATCGGCTCAAGTTCCTGGGCCTGTCTCAGCGATACTGGGGCAATGGTAACCGTGGCAACATAGAGACATACTACGGGCGCGTGGTGCAGCGGCCGGCCTTCAAGCGCGTTCTCGGCCACGTGAACAACATCCTCATATCCGCCGTGCTGCCGGTGGCCTTCCGCGTCGCCAGGAAGAATGCTCCGGTTATTTTTGGCACCACGCTCCTGATAGGCCTTGTGGGCGGAGCTACTTACCTGGCCTTTTTGTACATGAAGAAGAGAGTGACCCTGTTCTGTTGAGGGAGAGGAAGAGGAGATGCCCACAGTAACGCATTCTAACTTATTTACAGTATGAATCTGGATTAGTATCAATGTGTCAAAGAGATTCAACATACATGCTCTGGAATTAGCACAATCGCTACATTTCATCCACTGTCAAAAGGCAGGTAATTATATAATATATAAACAAGCATTAAGTAAGACAACATGTAAAAGACAGGACAATGTATTCACGAGAAACTGTAATATTATACAGTGAGGACAGACCTACGTACAGTATAGTGAAATATAATCAAACAATAAATACATTAATAGATAAATAAATACACAAATATAAATGATTATTCTATATAAATATCTTGGTATGATTTACATGTTGATCAGATTAAACTATACAACTATTTTTGTGCATTTTTTTTTATTCATTCATACACATCTGTCTCACAAGGGTTTACTTCTGGGTGCACTGAACCGGAGATGGTGCTGATACTGGACCGGGTATGAGTTCTATGGTTTTTCAACTGATGTAATAAAACCATGTACTGGCTTATATTTACCATGCTTGCCATAGTTTTACTGATACAACGTTGTTCAGTATGAAAAACAAATGACTCCGGTATCAGACACAATAAAGCTGGTGCAGTTTGCATTCTCCAAACTGAAAAGCATGAATGTACAGAAGGATATTTCAGATCATTATGCATGGACAGATCAGGGAATAATAAATCATAATTGTTCTCTGAGTTTGGCAAAAAATGTACATAGTTGCGTCAATAAATTGTCTGTTATTCTCATCGTATGTAATTTGCAGATATGAAAGGGTTATTTGGGTTTGCACATATTAATGAATTATTTGTATTGCCATTGAAAGTAACAGGTAGTCACATACTGGGAATTTACTTTGGCATGTGGTGCGACAAGTTATAAAAAGTAAAAAAAAAATGCCTTAAATATCTTTATACAATTCTACACTGACATATAACACATACATTTATAATTTAGTGACGTAAAACAGTCGTTGTGTTTTTTCATTATTTGCACAGTTTATATTTTAAAACCAGGCCTGGATTTAGACAGGTTCTGAAAAAGACATGTCATAAGTGTGAAAGAAGTTGTTAAAATCTGACACTCCAAATGGCAGGAGACATTACGTCAGTGGGCGACCTGTAAGGAAGTAGCCATAAATAAAGTTTTAAGATGCCCACGTTTGCAGCTTGTATCATATTTCAAGTCAAAGATAACTTATTTCATGCAAACGTTGTCAAAATCAACAGAGGCCCTTTAATTAATTCATTAACTAATCATTCATTCATCATTAATTTGTTTATGTTGTTTTGAATAAGGTTTCTGTTGGTAAACCGGAATCAATTCAATTCAATTAAAATAACTTTATTCATACGTGAGGAACATCATTTACAGACAGAGCACCATTGGGGGCACAATAAAAACACAGAAGCACAAGATATACAATAACAATACAATAAAAGTTCTATTTTTCTGTATTTCTCTAGTTTATCTAAATATACATTAGTTGCAGTTTGGCTTCTAACGATAGAGAATAAAGATATGAATCCTCGGTGAAAGGAAACACACAGCTGTTGCTCAGTCAATCACTCATTTTGGTGGTACTTCAAGTTCTTGGGCTTTCGCTGGGCCGTGCTGAGGGCATCCAGAAAATGTGAATTGTCTGTTTTAATGCTTTAAGAAAAAGAAAGGGTAGTTTCCATCTGTTTCTGTCAGGATTACCTTTCGGATTTTCATCAAGTATAATTTACAATTCAAGGTACGTTCTGTTCTTGTTGTGATGGTTTGGTTTGTCGCTTATTCCAAAAAAGACAATATTGTTTGTAGTTGAAATGCAAATTAAATACTGAAACATGTTGGTTTTCATAATGTTTACATGAGGCGACTGTACAAGCACAGATTTATAATATGTATTTGATTTGGGTCAAATTTCTGATCTCAATTCATTTGTGAGGAAAAATCAAAAATCTCTCAAGACCATCATTGAAAGCAGCTGTATCATTACAAAACGTGAAAAAAAGGGAGAAGGTTATATTTTAGTAGTTGAGAGAGGACTAGGGTTAGAGATTTAATTTTCTAGCTTTTGTTCTTCAAAATAATGAGTATTAAGGATCAATGTGAATGTGTCGGGTCACACACACTGATCCATCACAATGAAAGCCAGAGCTGGTGAAATAGTTTTTCCACACGTCTTGTCTTGTCACATCTTCAAAGAGACAACTCTGTACATAGTTGGGTCAAAGCTCATCTGTGTGTCACAAATTCCACATCTGTGTTACAAACCAACATGCTATTTTCAAGATGGCTCCTTTAAGAGATGCCTGCGTCTTTGATATCAGAATATGAGTCTGATGGTAATGTCCGCTGCTCGCTGTGAGTAATTAAGATGAGATAAACTTTATTGATCTCACAATGGAGAAATGCAATAGTATAGAATCAGTCAGGTTGCGCAAAAAGACAGGAAATGGGCAAACAGATAAAAAGCTTAAAATATAGCCTCTTTTGTTCAAGATATATGTACAATGAAAATTAAAAGTGACAATAGCAGTGTGAGATTTTCAGTCCTAGTGCAGGTCATTAATGTAAGTAAGTGATCAATATTTAATTATTTATACATTAACATTTTTACAGGCCAAGGTCACCCAAACTGCTTTACAGTGTTCAGAGTTGTCACGAGGTGATTTGAATGAGGACCCAAAATGCAGGAATGCAAAAAATAATGATTTAATAAAATAAATGTCCAGGTGAAAACAAAACTCAAAATCCAAAATGCAGAACCAGGAACACAAAATCAGGAACAGGACAGAACAGAAGTTGACAATACAATGGACCAGCAACAAGAAGTGAGGGGTAATTACTGTATAGACAGAGACACAGGTGAAACACATTAGGGCGGGGCAGACAATCAAGACAGGGGAAACAGGACGTCAAAGTCAAACTAAAACCAAAGCACAGAGAACAGATATCAAAATAAAGCTAAAGTCCAAAATAACAAAATCCACACCATGACAAGAGTTCAGATATTTTTTCATTCTTTTCACACACAGTGAAGGACGGAAGCGAGACGTTAATTCACTCACTCGTGACATTCATAACTATTGTGCATGTTTAAACCGGAGCACCCGGAGGAAACCTAGACAGACACGGAGACAACATTCAAACTCCACTCAGAAAGACCCCGTTCCGACCGGGATTTGAACCCAGGACCTTCTTGTCTTCTAGCCGCCAAAACACATGCAGTCAGTTCAGTGCTTGTGCTTGTCATAAAAAAAAAACTCAGGGTTGGCAGTTCAAACTTCACTCTGTCCAGTACGCAGTGTTGTTGAGTCTTTTGTGCTTTTTATTTATCGATACAAAGAGATTGGCTGTTTTTAAGTGCTCTTTCATCAGTGGGAAAACCTGTCAACACGCTGGGGGATAACCGCTGACATAACAACTGAATTTGTCAGTGGACTTGCAATAACTCAGGGATATAATATTTACCCTTCAACTTGAATTTATTGCACTCTGTGAAGCTTTTTACCGCCACAACTGCAGCCACTGATTGACAGAAACCTCTCGGGGTCTTCCTCACGCACTCAAACGCCACATTTACACAAGGCCATAAGGCTGAGGTGAGTGCGAGGCCCGAGGACACACCAACAGTAGTGTTCCTACCGGTGTGATGTGTCTCTTAGGTGTTGAGAACCCGGTGTCTTCGGTGTGATAAATTGACGTTATTTACACGTGTTTTATCACCATGGCGCTCGGGCCGCTGAGAGAACATCTGACTCAGGTGCTTTATGATTTTGGAGGTTTGGTGCGATCAGTCCAATCCTGGATGGCAGCACTGTCCTAACAAACACTGCAGCCATGTGGAGCTGCTCTCAAACCAGCGCAGTGTGTCCCAACTCACACTGGATACAAGTTAGATATTAACATTAAGATAAAGAAATGTATTCGTCCCACATTGGGGAAATTTCAATGTTGCTTCACCAGTTACAGAACAGTAGGAATGAGGAGCAAATACTAAAATAATAATAATCTCAAACTCTAGCATAAAACGAAGCAGTATACAATTTTTGTCTTTAGCATAATAAGGAAAGAGGTCTAAAATCTCCAGCTTTAGCATGAGGAAGAAGCAAGAATTAAGTACAAAAACCCCTGACTTTAGCATAATAAGGGGCAAGTATAAAATGCTGTATATTCCAGTACAAGTTGTGTGTATAAAACAGCGTCCGGGAACCCATCTCCAGATGTTGATGCTTGGCTTGGTCAGAACTGTCAGTGCTGGAGGATTTATCTAGTGTGCTGTTTTGAGTGGTAGGGGAAACCGGAGCACCCAGAGGAAACCTACACACAGGGAGAACATGCAAACTCCGCTCAAAAAGACCCTCATCTGACCAGGATTCAAACCCAGACTGCGATCCACTTTGCCACCCTGCCGCCCAAATGCAACATGTGGTTCTAAGTTGTACATACCGACATACTGTATGAAGGAAGAAGGTGACTTAACAATAACGACCATCTATTCTCTGTTATAAATGTTTCATGTTACTGTATCAAAGAAACTCGATACTTGATGAGTTGTTGCCAGACCATCTGTGCTCAAGTTGCTCAAGTTGATCGGAGATTGTCTGCTGTAACGGCAATGCAGATAATAGTTTCATTACCTATTTAAAGCCATTGCACACGCTTGAGCACATCTGCAGCTTCTAATCCAGCTCTCCTCGAGATGATGTTTAGAGTGTGCTGCTGTGAGGGTTTGCGTCTAATAATGAGAGTCAGACAGCAGCGGTTTACAGGCCTGCAGTAACAGTAGGTGACGTGATGCTCGTGGGTCTGAAGCCAGGTGGAAGACCCAGTTTCAGATCAGTTCAACATGAAGTGATTTTTGCCGCAAAGAAGACAGTTCAAATCAAGAGCACTTTCATAAGTTTTCTAGATCTAGTTTATTGGCCCTTTGCAAACTCACCCCAGGCTAAACTGTCCTCACAAACTCTTATGTCCTGATACGC